CGCCTTCCCTAGTAGCAGAACCATAGAAGGAAAAGATAAAGATTATGTACGAAAGTTAATTTTTTTATGTAACGCATGCATACGAAAGTGTTAAAAGTGAACATTTTTAGGTAACCATTATATAAAAAAAGTCATAATTTCGTGAGCTTTTTGCAAACATACTGAAAAATCTTCTAATTCGCGAAAAGCTCACGAAAATGATGACCTTTTTTTAATATAATATTTACATAAAAATGTTCACTTTTAACACTTTTGTATGCATGCGTTACATAAAAAAATAAAAAACTTGCCTATAAAAAAAATTACCTAATCTAGCTTTTATCATTTTTCATAAATCATGGTCAAGTCTAAACTTTAATTTTTTTTAATATAAGCGTTACACGTTGTTTTATATAAAACTATCATTTAAATAACAGATGTTTTTTTAATACTTTTTTTAGGAAAAAAATTGTTCTGCTACTAGGGTTGAAATCTCATTAAAAATATTTCCAAGTCAAGTCAAGAAGATTTTCATGGTCTTTCATACTTGAAAAAAATCTCTAAAAATGTCACATAAAATTTCCTCAAACAAAGATCCGCCCATTACTGTCATTGTTCTTCTTTGATGCGTAAATTTATTTCTGTTCTCTTTTCCTGAGAGGGGTGAAATACATAGAAGCAGGAGCAATTATCAATGCCATTTCTCCACGTTTCAGGTTGAACCTTTGACCTCGCTTGATCCTTCTCTGCAGCTCGAAGTTAACATCTGTAGCAAATTTTTATGTTATAACAATCCCTTGGGGCGGAAAAAAAGGTGAGACTTCAGACTTTTGAGATACGGATCCAAATCTCAGACTTCCCGACTTAAATTTTCCTGATACGGCATAAATTCAGTCCTCTGTGAAAGGAAAGATCCAGTAAGCATCCTCAACCAATAATCAAGAAATAGGGAAAAAAAATCCAGCAAACATCATTGACCCCAGGGGGTTGGTTATGCTTTCTTTAGGTTTTTCGGGCTAGGAAGGTATGTACCCTCCGTTTGCTAGATGTTGCTGATGAAGGCTACCAAGAATTGATTTAGCTTTTAGAAAGTTAATCCACAACTAGTTTAATGTTCAGATACCCTTGTGAGAAGAAGATAGGGACTCCATTGGCACATTGGCAGTGAATTTGGAAGACGCCTTCCCAGGCAAATGAAACCTCAAGTGCTCACCCCTCCCCAGCCCTTAAAATAGAGTATAAATTATATTCGGGGCGGATGGTTGAAACTTCTTTTCATATTCAACAGTGCCACATTTATCTCATGAAGTTGAGCTTGATCGGTGTGGGCATTTGGTTGGGTATATGCAGATCGTTCTTTCTAATAAAAAATTCTAAATCATACCTTGAACTGTTGCTACAGAAAATGTGCACTTCTGATGACACTGTGACGCCGACGATAAAACTGAGAAATGATCTTAAACTAGAGGCGAGGACTAAATTTGGAGATTTTCTGGAGAAAGGATGTGAATTACCTACTATTTCAGGCAGACCATTTTTCTTCAACGCAGACTCTTCCTTTGAGAAACTGTCATCAATGAGCAGCTTTGACCGCAGCAATGGACCGCTCACACATGTGCCCAAATTTTCTACGCTAGGATTTTTTATACCTACCTATATAAGTAGTAATACACACCATTTGACACTTCAACAATAAAAGAACACGCTTTAATAAAACCATAAAACAAACATAATTTCCATCTGCACGCTGCACTTCATTAGATGCTGCTTTCGGGGAACGATTCCTAACACTGACATTTGTAGACACAGAACTGAAATGTAGGCTTTGATTATTACCAAAGTAAGCGTTTATGTTGGAAAAACAACACTGCCACAGCTGAAACATATAACGGCGAGGCACAATAAAATCGTCTACGAGGAAAAAAGGAGCAGATTAAACTGACGAGCTACTTGGCTTCAGCTTTAATCATAAAGAGCGAAAGGCCAATGATGTTTTTTCATTTGCAGGTTAAAAAAAATATTGCATAAAATTTTACGTAAAGTTTGCATTAAAAAAAAAAAAAAAAAAAAACCCCATAGTTTGGTAACTGGTTTGCCATTTATTATCGTATAATAAATGGCAAACCAGACCACCATTTATTCCCGTTTCTGAAATCTGAACTCGGGGGAGTTTATTTTGAATCAGTGGAAGAGGTCAAACAAGCCGTCCACTCTATTTCATCTCCGGTCAGCTTAAGACCTCTACGCGCGTGGCATCCAAAAGCTGTTCTGCTCTTAGTCTCAGTATCAGACCTGCTTGGATCGAGCTGGTTATGTGGACAAGTGAGGTAAACCCCTTATTCTGCAAAAATGTCTTTGATTTTTCGTCAGTGATGAACGACTGAGGCTTTGGCAGAGAAGCTCTTCTCCTGTCGCGGACTTCAAATCCGCGCGGATCCGGCGGGAGCGTCGAGCACCCCGGCGCGTTCAAACGGCTCGCGTTCAGCTGCACATGGTCCGATTTTGTTGCGGTTTGTTTTGTTGGACTCAATATTTCCTAAGGAAAATTTTGAGCCCAAATTTTTCAAAATTGGTCCATTCTTATTGATTTTAGAGAGGGGGGATACTTACTCATTGAACGCCCCTCGTACCATACTGTTCATAGTGTAAATTAGAGTACCTTTATAGACAGAGTATGGCTGAATATGGGTGAGTATGGCAGGTTTTGATTGGTCAACGAGTTTTTAGGCTTCATGATGCTCTTCCCTAGTAGCACAATGGGAGTCAAAAACGTTTTAAAAATGTTTCACTGAAATCAAAAACGTCGCCAACACATTTCATCGAAACATTTTAAAAACATTGGAAATGTTTTCTTCAGTTTTTAACACGTTTCATACACTTCTCTGTCACCCCAAATTTTTGTCAAACTGCATGACACCCTACGCAGAAGTTTCTGATACCTATTGAGGATTATCAAAGTTTCACTGATCCGTTTCAGGAACATTTTTGAAACATATTTTTGAAAGGAAAGGTGCTTGATGCTCTCACAGAATTGTTTCAGAAACGTTTCCAAAACATTTCCTACGTTTCATCGAAACATATTAAACACGTTCAGAATGTGCTCATTCAGTTTTCAACACGTTTCAGACACTTCTCTATGTCACCCCAAATTCTTGTGTCGCCTACGCCGTGGGAAGATGTTTCTGAAACCTATTGAGGATGTTTCAAAGTTTCACTGATACGTTTCAGAAACATTTCTGTTACATGTGCTTGAGAATATTAGGTTCTGACTGTTCACTATGAAATTTTTTAGAAACGTTTGCATGTTCCAGAAATGTGTTTCTTCGGGGATTAATTAGAGGCTAATTAACAAAAATTTCAGATATTTGTTTTAACAAATGTCGTTGTGGGATTAGAACCATCACAACAGGATTTCCTTGATACCAACCATGCCTGAAGACTGAATCGTTACACTTCATCATTATCAAGCTATCAGAGGGACCAGGACACCTTCACTTTAGAAAAGAATACGCAAAGCATGATGTATGGTTTCAATATTCTAGATAATCCATAACTTATGAGCTTTTGTGGAGATGAACTCGATGCATACAAGGAATTAATCATTTTTATAACCTCCACATAATTAAATGTCCAAAAAGTATAGCTTGAAACGAAAAATTAAGCTGAAATTTGGTACAATTGAAAAATTAAACGTCAACGCCCTCTGGTGGATTCAGTTTGAACTAGGAAAAGTTTTAGGAAGGTCCTAGAAATGTTTCTATGTTATTCAATGAAACATTTCTAAAACGTGCCAAAAACATTTTTAAGTGACGTATAAATTCGAACAAAATATTCAAAAAGGTATCAAAGACATTTTGAAAAGGTTTTGAAAACGTTTTCAAAAAATCGGGCGGAAAGAATATAAGAATAGGTTTTCCAATTGTATCTAAAACATACACCTCTAAAACCTCATGATTTTCTATATTGTTTCCAAAACGTTTCGAAGTGACGCCACTGTATAGGTACAAACAAAGTATTTCAAAGAGCATTCAAAAATATTTCAGAAAAAATGCGCACGAAGAAAAAAACAGGTTTTCAAATGGTATCAGAAACATTTTCAATTTAGATCTTCGATACCTGTTGAAACGTTTTCAAAATGTGGCCCAAATATGTCAACTAAAGCCACCCATTTCAGATATCATTTATACTTTGTTTTGGGAACGTTTTAACAAAGATTAATGAGATGAAGGAGAAATGTTTGGAAAATAATTTTGACTCAATTCAACGTAATAAAGATCAAACTAGATCAAAATGTTTTAAATTTGTTTAAAACATTTTCTAAATGAAATACGACAATTTCTTATATCATAGGAAATATTTCTAAAATGTCTTAGATATGTTTCTGGAAGATCGCGTAAAAATCTTTTTAAACTGTTTTTAAAACATTTTAATATTATTTAGATCTAGCATCAAAAAACTAAAATTAAAACATTTTTTTATTTCAAAAATACTTTTTATGTGAAAAAAACCTAGGTTTCACAATAATGTTTCCAAGATAGTTTGGAAACATTTAAATGTTTCATTGTTTTATCTGCAATTAGTTTCCAATTTATTTCTGATACATTTTGATTTTGATATTTTTATTTAAAAAGGAAACGTTTTTAAAACGTTTCAAATTTATATTCATGAAACTTTCGAAGCGCTGGTGTCAATTATTTGTTTCAAAAATGTTTTTGGAACGTTTCAATGAGATGATATAAGTTTGAGACTTTTGAGATGTTTCTGAAATGTTGGTGAAAAAGATTGTGCTACTAGGGTTATACGGCCGTAAATAAACAAACAAGATGGCGGCTCACCGTAACATCGATAAGAAGCTAAATTTGACAAAAATTTCAATTATACGGCAGTAACAATTTAAAGTAGCATATCTACGAATAACACACGAAAAACACATGAAAACATTGTTAAATCGCCTTTCACCTTCATCATAGGAGGATGTAAGATGTGCATCAATCTTATTTTGGTTACCTTTATTCTGGAAGTTTCAGATGACGAAATTGTGCAAGTGAACGACTTTCGAAGGATAGAAAGAGTGGATGATATAGAACCTACAAGCGGTGCTTATTACAACTCTGGGTAAGTATTTGTGATTCTATAGGTAGGTACCATAATTCTCTGTGAAACCGCTGTAATTATTAATGTTCATACTGAAAAACCCATGCTCTTTGGATTATACGAATTTGCTTTTATCCTTTTTCATTAAAACTAGACACTCACATTAAGCGAATTTTCGCAGCGGATCGGGTAGAGCGCGTGACTCCGATCCGGTAAATTCTTATTTTCTAGAGTACTTATATTGAGAGAGTATGGCCACTGGGGTTACCACCTCTGATTGGCTCAGCCATTTTAGGCTAAATGGAGCCCTTAGGACCCAAAAATGGCGGACGCCATAAATTAATGTAATGCAAAATGACTCAAAATGTAGTTTTCTTTGCATATCATAACGAGAAATTTACTCAAATGCACTATTGCGACATCTTTACATATTTTTAAGGCTAATCGTGTACAATTTTTGAGAAAAATTATCTTAGATGTAGTAATAAGGTTGGCAGCAAGTGCGGTTGGTGATAACCGTCAAAAGTTAGCAATGACCCCCCTCCCATCCACAAAAACCAAAACAAAGCACCGCCATTTTTGGGATGACGTCACATTTCGAGATATATCGCGATTTTAGGCCTGGTGCCCTAACCGGGATTCGGTCGGTTCGATTTACATGGGATTTCCCATAAGGAACGGAAAGTCAATTTTCAAACCCTGATTCTGGGTAGTTTCAGACAGTTTCTGCCGTATTTTTTTGCGATTATGAATTCTATATATCCTCAAATGTACGTTTCCATCGGGTGAATCTCCAATTTCGCATTGGATATTTTAGTTATACTCAATGTATCGAAGCAAATCCCGAAAGTGAGGTTATGTTACCCCTTTGTCTACATTCTTCTCCGGGATTCTGAAGAATATTATTTCTTCGATTTTATGAAAAAGGACGAAGCATTGGTAGATTGAAAATACGTTACTGAATTCATAAGCATTATTTCATCCTCTAAGTCGTATTATTGTGACAGCCTGTGCGCGTGTCACATGATTCGTAATACCGAAGACATAAAGACGGAATGCTCGTATCTAAAAGCACGGGGAAAAAGTGAAGCCTGGTTTGGCGCTGGGTGCTTGTGTGAGTGTGTAAATGAGCGCGGGAATTCATGGCGGCAAACGGAAAGATTTGAACTTGTCCTCTTGATTTTTACACATTTGTATAACTTGATTTTGTCTACATGATTCAATGTATTTGGTCATGTATTACCCATCAATCTCTTCAGAAATATCTAGAAAATTGATTTCTGCGATCTCAGACGCAGAAATTTTTCCTTGTTCTCGAGATATTCTTGATGGAAAATAAACTCCGCGTTATTTTCCAAAAGAAGCCCAGTGGGCACCAGGCGGATCAGCCTATCAGAGACGACTTGTAAAAGTAGGAGGTGCCACTCAGCCCACAATCCATATAGCGGCTCTTGTTTTCTCTTCAATACGAACCGAATAGTTCTATAGATCGGATTCTATACATCAAACGGGTGAGATTGTATCGATATCGATTGGTTCAAAATATAAACATGGCCTCAAAAGTCAATTCAGAAATCTGAGGGAACGGGTCTTTTGAAAAAGATTTTTTATTCTTTTGAGTACCAAATGCCAATGCAAAGTGAAATTGTTAGGAATTTTCTCATTTTCAGCTTTTCCAACTTAAATCCTGATGGTTTTGTTTGAGGTCATGTTCTATTGTTTTGAACCAAACGATACATCGAACCACTATCGAATACGGTCTATAGGGGCTCGATCAGTTGATTACACGATGAATCGAATTTTTGGATAGGTAAATGAAAACTGAAGGTAAGCAGTCAATAATCGAATCAAAATCAATCGATTTGTGCATGTAATTTTTTCTAAATGTCAAACATCAACACTATACCTAGCCCAGAGTACGTAACCGAGAATCAAAGCGGGTACTCGCATTGCCAAAAATGGACCATCCGTTCGTCCAGACCTTTCAAAATTACGTGTGTGTAAATGGGCGATGCCGTTGCTCAGTCTTAAATTTTAGTCAAGTTCTTAAATTTTTATTGATTTATTCAATATTTCGGTGCTCTGATCTTTGGATTTTCAACGCTTTAACAAATATTATATTGGTAGTTTTTCGAGAAGTTCATCTCTAAAATCGGCTAAAATCCCTCCAATGCTTTGGTAATGGAACTGTTTTCGCGCGCTTCAGCTTCAGATTGCGCGACCAAGTAGAAAATGGATAGTAATGCATTTTTTGATTGGTCGATCACTTCTCCGTTTAGGACGCAGAGACGAGTAGAGACCGTGCACGCCCTACGTGCTTGCTCATTTCGGCGAGGCAAATTTTTTTTCGGGATTCAACTGGAACGGCAGCCATCAAATTCTTGATTTCACATCATGGATGACGGTACCTACCTCCGGGTTAGTCTAAACTCGACAAAAATGGAAGCGGTCATGAAGAAGAAAGGTATGGCAGCCAACCATAGACACACGTAACTCCCTCATTCTGAAAATTGAGTTGGATTTCACTGGACTTTAGAGAAAACGGCGTCACCAATTTCGACCATTTTGGTGTCTACGGACGCAGCTATGATGTTTCAAAAAGTGACAAGGACTGTTTTTTTTAAAAGAAAAGTAGAAAATCCCACGCCCAATATGAATATAAATAAAAATAAAAAAAGAAGCCCCATTAATAAGAGCATAACGAATAAGTCAACCATTATTAACATCTCGCATAATATGAATTACTCTATCAAAAGCTAAGGTGAATCTACAGCGGTGCGTAGTAAGAAATTTTTCCGCGCAGGGAGCGCAGCGCCACCGCTGTGTTTTGATTTTTTGGTCCACGTTATTAGAGTCCGTAGGTACAGCCCCACATGAGTCCTTGAGCTTTTATGAAAGTTACAGGAATTTCTGTTAAAATCGAAGAGTCATAAGTTCTAGCCATAACATTTTAGTCACCCCTGTCAAGTCAAAACAGTCAGCCTTCCTGTAAGATACACCTACACCCCTCTTCCTGTAAGAGCGTTTTCATAAGAACAGAATGAAAACTGAAATATGTACATCTAACCTTTGTAATTAGTATCAGCTGTTTTGACTTGACAGGGGTGAATAAATTATTTAGTTAGGTAGTAATAAGTCATTTTATGACATTTTGGAGGAGTTTTAAAGGATAAGTTGGAAAGTTTTCCGTTTTACAATTTACTAAGAAGAATGTAAACAAACCACCACTACGCCAACAGCCGTAATTCACCAGTCGACACCATGTGAAATCACAAAAATTAATGGCTGCCGTTCCCGTCGATTCCCCGAAAAGAGAGTGCGTCTGCTGATTTTCGACGTGCAAGGTCTCTACTCATCTCAGGTAAGATGGGAATGCTCGTATACTGTGCTTTGGTTCTAGGTTACCTACCCTAACAAGCCGGCTCCAGACTACGCGGCATTCGCCGAGTGCCGAGCCGAGTCACGAATATTCGAGGTTCTGGAAGCGACGGGCAGATGCGAGCGTTTCCACGAGTATACAGCGCCACACTACTCGTGAAAGTCGTACTTGGCTCGTCATTTGGCAAGTAACGAATTTCTGATGGGAAAGGACAAATATTCGCCAAGTGAAGAAAAAACACTGGAAAACGCTGCACCTCTCCGCCCTCTTCCTACAAAACCTATAGCGAACATTCGGCGAGTGAGGACGAGTAGTCTGAATGGCACCCCGATGTTGCGATGGACGCTCGGCTTCGCGCTCGCGATCCCTTTGACTCGTGTCTTAAAAACCGACTTTTAGCGGGTTGGGGCGAATGCCGAGCCGAGTGACTCGCCTCGCGTCAACTTGAGTCAAGTCAACGGGAATGTTCCATCCAGACTACTCGGGACTTGCCACATATTCGGTACTCGGTGAATGCCGCGTAGTCTGGAGCCGGCTTAAACTGGGCCGGGGGCCGAAATTTGTCAGCTCTTTCCCAAGAAGGCGTACCGTTGCTGAGTCCAAACCGCATCACCGGCCAGACAAAAGCGCTAAGCCGGACTTATAAGTGCGGTCGAGACTCGTCCTATGTATATCTAAGCACGGTGGAAGGGCCGAAAAAAATCGGCCCCTGGGTGGCTTTCTATGAGTATGACTGATATGTACGTATTTTTGTTCTACTACCAGTTTTCAATCCGAAAATCACCAATTCTTAAGGGACAGAGTAAGACACTTGGCACAAAATTTATCCGAACGAGCTTTGCGCATCAAGCGACGTTTTGATTTTCCACCCACGCCCTCGACGGTCAGTAGCGATCCCGGTAAGAATGTAAACATACGTGTTGCTCAGAGGTGAGCACTATTAGCCAAGGTACCCCCATCCCCTTTCAAACTTCTGTATCAGTTAGGAAAACAGTTACAGGGATGGCAGGTGACTTTTTGATAATCATGTATTCTATGAATGGCCCCTCTTACGTAATTTTCTGCTTTGAATGTAAAGTATGATAAGCAGTTTGCAATTTCACAAACCGAGATAAAGATGTCGTCAGGTAAGTTGACACTTGTTTACTTTCGATTTGCAGGAGTAGGCAACGAATTTACGCCTTATTCGCACAAATCGTTGTTCGCTACTATCCACCTTAAAAACATCCGTTTTATGATCGTATTGTAAGAATACTACCCTAGTAGCAGAACAAATTTTTGTTTTTCTAAAAAAAGTATAAAAAAAACATATCTGTTATCTAAATGACCGTTTCATAAAAAAAAAACGTGTAACGCTTATATAAAAAAAAATCCAAGTTAAGACCTGACCGTAATATATGAAAAATGATAAAAGGTACTTTTTTGATGATAAGGTAATTTTTTTTATACACTCATTTTTTATTTTTTTATATAACGCATGCATACGAAAGTGTTAAAAGTGAACATTTTTATGTAACGATTATATAAAAAAACAGGTCATCATTTTCGTGAGCTTTTCGCGAATTAGAAGAATTTTTAGTATGTTCGCGAAAAGCTCACGAAAATTATAACATTTTTTTATATAATGGTTACATAAAAATGTTCACTTTTAACACTTTTGTATGCATGCATTATATTAAAAAAATTAACTTTCGTACATAATATTTATCTTTTCCTTCTAGTTCTGCTACTAGGGTACCGTTCAGTTTTCAGTTATGATCAGCGACTTTTATGTGGTTGTGATTGTTATAGTTTTGACTGTATTAAAAAACCTATCTAAGCTTTGTGTTCTCACTTCTGCGAGAGTCGGATGTTTTCATGTGGATAGCAGTGATGCAAAAACGCCTGCAAATTGAAAGTAAACAAATGTCAACTTATCTGACGACACCTCTAAGTACATAAGGGCCTCCAGTCTCACGATCTAAAGTAGGTACATAAAAAAAATTTAAGGAGAATCTGATGAAAGCTAAAAATTACCATTTTAGAACAACATTTTATACCTACCTCTCTTCATGAAGAGACGTTCAATGCATCAATTTAGATTTTATTTAGAGATCTTACATATCAATTGTAGATTGATTCTGTAGGTAACGATTACTTTTCAGACGATGGAAGCAGCGTGCGTCCGTTTTCCTCACCGCAGGACAGAAGGGCTCAACTGGTTCAGTGGATGTCCAGAGATATGGCTGCCAGCACAGGAACGATCTATTCTTCCCTCCGGACAACAATTTCAAGTCATGTTTTTGTTATTGAGCCCCAAAGTAAGTCCCAAGTTAAGACTAAACCCATCATGAGATGGTAGTAAGTCAAATTTTCTTAGGTACGTATATTTTCTCTTTTTTCAGTATGACCCACAGTCGGATCGGAGTTTTATCATGTCCAGAGCACATAGCTTTCCAAGTTTTGGCCGTAAGGTGAGGTTCGGTATCTGAGGAGGAGTTCGAGGAAAAATTTCAAAATGTCGACCTCATGATTTATCATGATCGAGGATTATATCTAATTTTCATTAGCCGGAAGGTGATGTCCTCCTCATGAAGGTTGAAGAAAACGATATTTGAATTTAAATGAAAATTTTTGGTTAAAAATGATGTTATAACTGTTAGCGAGAAAAGTATTTAAATCTGAGAAACGAATAGCGGTCAAAAAAATATCTCTTCAAGATAAACGAATAAAACTTCATGTATTATTATATCAAGAACTATTATATTTCAGGATACTTTTTGCCCAGTTACATTGTCACTTATACAGGGTGACACTAAGGAAAGTCCGTCCCATCCCTGCTAACTTTTGAACGAATTGAGCTAGAGAAATGAAACTTTGGGAATGTTCCTATCTCAAAGGGGAACATCTTTTGGGGGGGTCAAAATTTTGGTCTCCCCTCAGGGGGAGTGCGGGGGGCCCCCAACTTTTTTTTTCAAATGGCAACCCCCATCTTGTGATACCTTATTCGAAAGAACATAAAAAACTAAGAATTTTGGCGCAAACCGAAGATCAATATCTTAATTTTTGACCGAGTTATGATAGGTCAAAGGTCAAATTTGACCTATTTTCCAAAAATCATAATCCCGATTCAAATTATCGTAAAGAAAGAAATAAAACGGGAAAATTTACCAAATTGTGTTTGCTTTTAAGTAAAAATTGCAGAAATCACTTCGAACTCATTTTAAGGAGGGGGGGGGGGTCGGACCCCCAAAGGTCATTCAATTTTCTAGCGAAAAAAGCCAATTTCCCCTGAATTTGCCTCCCATATTATCTCAGTAGGGTCAAAATCAGTTCAAGATAACGTTGGCAAGTCCCCAAATTTCGGGAAAAGTTCAAAAAAAGGAAATTTATGGTGATTAAATTTGACCGTTTAAATTTCGTTTTTTTTTTTTAACTTTTCCCGAAAGAGGTTGTTCCAAAAACGCCGATTTTGGCCCCCCTCCCCCTGGATTTGGCCCAAACTTTGCTCAGATGTTGTACTAAGTGTCCCCGATGCTTGGGCAAAATTTCAGCCCCCTCGGATACTTAGGGGGGAGGGGGCAGGGGGGCAAAGTAGCAATTTTTTCAAAACTTTAAAAATCGATATCTCGCGAACGGTTTGAGTGTAAGTGTTACGGTTTGCGCTAAAAAACGTTAAAAAATATTCTCTACACGAATATTGATGCTGTTTGCATGGTTGCGTAATTTATCGTAGTCATAAATCGATTTTTTCATGAAATTCTGCATCTACTACACTTTGTTTGACCATGGGGAAACGATTCATTCTTGAGTTATAGCGATTTTTCTGCGCGTTCCCGGTTACGATCCCTAAAGTCGGGAGACATTGTACCTCCCTCTTTTACCCCCCAAGGGAGGGTAGGGGGGCTTCGGGACCATGAAATTCGGATACCTTGGGGTCAATTCCCTATTTAACCCCGCGGTCCCCCACTTCGTACTACCTAAACCAACCGAGAAAAAGACCTGGTACGGGTGGTCCGGGACACCCTGTATAACGAAGTATTAAAACATATTTATAGGAGGGGAAGGGTTGGGGGAGGAGAAAATATCAAAAATTACAGCCTACAGCATTAATATAAGGCCCTAGCAGTGAAACAACCTCTGCCTCGCCCGGGGGGGACGTAGCGCCGCCGATATGCCGCCCGCGCGTAACCGGGAACGCGCAGAAAAATCGCTATAACTCAAGAATGAATCGTTTCTCCAAGGTCAAACAAAATGTGGTAGATGCAGAATTTCATGGAGAATCACCTCAACTGGTTTTTATTCACATAGCAACAATCGCCTGGAGAGGAGAGACGAAAAACGAAAAAAAGTCGAACCTCCAAAATCGAAAAAATCGATTTATGACTATGATAAATTTCGCAACCTTGCAAACAGCATCAATATTCGTGTAGAGAATATTTTTTAATGTTTTTTTAGCGCAAACCGCAACACTTACACTCAAACCGTTCGCGAGATATCGATTTTTAAAGTTTTGAAAAAATTGCAACTTTGCCCCCCTGCCCCTTCCCCCCTAATTATCCGAGGGGGCTGAAATTTTGCCCAAGCATCGGGGACACTTAGTACAACATCTGAGCAAAGTTTGGGCCAAATCCAGGGGGGGCCAAAATCGGCGTTTTTGGAACAACCTCTTTGGGGACTTGCCAACGTTATGTTGAACTGATTTTGACCCTACTGAGATAATGTGGAGGCAAATTTAGGGGAAATTGGCTTTTTTCGCGAGAAAATTGAATGACCTTTGAATTGACGTATTTGGGGGTCCGAACCCCCCCCCCCTTAAAATTAGTTCGAAGTGATTTCTGCAATTTTCACTTAAAACTGAACACAATTTGGTAAATTTTCCCGTTTTATTTTTTTCTTTACGATAATATGAACCGGAGTTATGATTTTTTGAAAATAGGTCAAAGGACTACGTGCAAAACGGGCCATTTGGGGCTCGGGGCGGATACCTTTGAGACTTGCCCTATTCATTAACCTAACAATGCCCCATCTTTTCCCAAAGTTTCAAGCCCCCCAAAAATTTTGGGGAGACGCGGCGGGGGGTCAAAGTTAAAAACCAGCAAAATTTTCGCGAATTTATTACTCGAAAACCAAGAAGTTTTGGAAAATGCGGTTTAAACGAGCGTATTCAGCGCGACGAGAGCTTTCAGAAAATATATAACATCATAGGGTTTTGTCAACTTCAGCTCGAATTATCACCTCCGAAGCGCCGGAACGCTCAAAAAAGACCCCTTATTTTTTCACGTTTGGGCCGATTTAAAAAAAAAGCCATTTTTTTATTTTCGTGAAAAACTGATATATTGTTCCTGACTCTCTGTAGCCCCTCTAGCTCTTTACCGCATGCTGGGGAAATGTTTTGGTAGCGAGTTATGAGAGCGGAAAGGAGCGAAGGTCGGGAAAATCGGCTATTTTAAACTGCGCGCGCGGCGTTGATCGGAGGGAAAACGTCCCCTCCCACTCAGTTGGGCGAATCACACTCCTCTGCCGACCTCGCATTGTTGCCACATGTCTCCTAATCCGTCACCGCGCGCAGTTTAAAATAGCCGATTTTCCCGACCTTCGCTCCTTTCCGCTCTCATAACTCGCGACTAAAACATTTCCCCAGCATGCGGTAAAGAGCTAGAGGGGCTACAGAGAGTCAGGAACAATATATCAGTTTTTCACGAAAATAAAAAAATGGCTTTTTTTTAAATCGGCCCAAACGTGAAAAAATAAGGGGTCTTTTTTGAGCGTTCCGGCGCTTCGGAGGCGATAATTCGAGCTGAAGTTGACAAAACCCTATGATGTTATACATTTTCTGAAAGCTCTCGTCACGCTGCATACGCTCGTTTAAACCGCATTTTCCAAAACTTCTTGGTTTTCGAGTAATAAATTCGCGAAAATTTTGCTGGTTTTTAACTTTGACCCCCCCGCCGCGTCTCCCCAAAATTTTTGGGGGGCTTGAAACTTTGGGAAAAGATGGGGCATTGTTAGGTTAATAAATAGGGCAAGTCTCAAAGGTATCCGCCCCGAGCCCCAAATGGCCCGTTTTGCACGTAGTCCTTTGACCTTTGACCTATCATAACTCGGTCAAAAATTAAGATATTGATCTGCGGTATGCGCCAAAATTCTTAGTTTCTTATGTTCTTTCGAATAAGGTATCACAAGATAGGGATTGCCATTTGAAAAAAAAAAGTTGGGGGCCCCCGCACCCCCCCCCCCCCCCCCCCCAAAGATGTTCCCCTTTGAGATAGGAACATTCCCAAAGTTTCAATTCTCTAGCTCAATTCGTTCAGAAGTTAGCAGGGGTGGGACGGACTTTTATTACACCCTGTATAGGACACCGTCGTGAGGCAAGCTTGCACTACACCGACTCCTGTGCGGTGGACTGTGAGGCCGATTGCTTACTGCGTGAAATGTCAAGATGTACTCGTTTTGCCGATGCTGCTCGCTCACATTTTGTGTCGAGCTTACAAACCGACACACCGGTGCCTCTCACATTGGTCTGTGGAGCAGGTCGGCGTAATTGATGAGTTTGTTTGAATCCTCTAGTTTGAGCGTGGGCTAGAGGCTTGCGATCCAATTTTCGTAGTATCGTATCTATGCTCAGGAGCGGAACGGCAGACGTAAGCGCGGGGTATCTGACTGCGGCGAGTCGGTGGGGGCGAGACGTCTGAGTCGAGGGGTCAGCCGAGCGTCATTTAATTTCGGACTTGGGTTTTTTTTTTTTTTTTTTTTTTTTTTTTTTTTCTGTCGTTAATCTTATGTTATAGTGAAGGTCCAGTTTTCTCGAAAACGAAAAGTCGTATCAAAATTCGATGGCACGATTTTCCGATCTTCGAAAATGTAAAAGAATTGCACTAGTTCGGGGCGGATCGGAGGAGGGGATTTTTCCGAAATTTTGTCGAGTTGTTCCCACATATCCATTTATCCTTTTTTCTTCGCGTTTGAGTTTTTATGTTTTTACTTGTAATACTTTCTGATGCTTCTCATGACTCGGCGTATGAGGAGGAGTGGTGTAAGGGAAGGTTGGGGGTTGGGATAGGAGGAGAGGGAGTTGAGAAGGGGGGCCTCGCACCTATGTCATCATTGAACTTTCGAGGTCAAAAAAAGCACCAATGCGCTCTCTCCCGCATTTTGCCCTCACTGTTAAATTGGAGTAAATAACACAAGAAAAACAAGTATTGAAATTTAAAAGATGCTATTGAGGGAAGTTTTAAGTTTCTTTGACGCCGTCAATTTCAATTTTTAGTTGACTGTTCATCTAGTTCGAGAGTAATGCATTTTTTGTAAGGGCGGTGGT